TGCTGCAGCATCTCGCGGCGGCGGCGGCGGATCCAGCGCGCGGCGGCCAAGGTGCGTGCAGCGAGTCCCCCTGCCGGCTCCGCGCTGCCAACAAAGCGCGGCCCAGCGGCCTGTGGGGAGGGTAGCGGCAGAATCCTGGGGTCCCTATCCCTGTATTTGCCCTCAGTCCACCGCCCACGCTCCGCTCCTCAGGGCTATGGGCGCTGCGGGGCTTCTGCCAGCCGTAAACTCCGCGGGGGGCGCTTATTTCAAGCTTTCGGGTGAGCGGCCACTGAGGCTTGTGTAGCACGCGCTCCGCTGCAGAGGCCAGTTGCGTCCCCGCCTGACAATGCGTTTCTGGGGACCCCTGCGCGCGGGGCACCGTAACTGCTTGTGAGGGGGACGGGCCCGTGTGCGCGCTGCTAGTGTCGCGCGTTAGCGGGGTCCTCTGTGAGCTGAGTCTGCGTGCATTTTACTCTGCTGGCCGCGTGTGTTTGAATGGAGGGTCTACTCTGGGCGTGTGAGCCTGGTCTCTGTGCCTGCCACCCAGCGGCCCGCCACCCGAGGATCCCAGCGCACCGGACCCTACCTCTGGGTCGAGGGTGCCCGAGGTACCCGGCGTCGCCCTCTTTCCTTCACGCTAGAAGATTCCAGGATGCCTTTCGGGGAGCTGAGCTCCTGTTGGCTGACCCAGCTCACAGCTCCCTAACTCATCCCCAGGGCCCGTCAAGGAGTGTGAAAAGGACCAGTTCCGGTGTCGGAATGAACGCTGCATCCCCTTGGTGTGGAGATGCGACGAAGACGATGACTGCTCGGACAACAGCGACGAGGATGACTGTCGTGAGTGGCCAGCGGGGCGCTCAGGACTGGAGTGGGGGTTTTCGGGGGGGGGGGGGGGGGGGGGGTCCGGCTATATTCATGCTGGGCCCTAGCCATGGGCCACCTGCTTCAGCCTGGCTTCCTTCTTCGGGTAGGGTAGGGTGGCTTTCAGCTACCAGACGGTGAGCATCTCCTTGTAGGACCCAGGGCGGAGCCCAAGGCCATGTGCCGGATAAGTGCCAGGTGGCACCAGGGGCGTGGACGCGGCAGTCCTATACTCCTACCTTCCAGCCATCCAGCCCTCTGTGGCAACCCACTGGGCCCCAGGACATGCGCGCGTTCCAAACTTCCTCCCAGCCGGGCCAGCACCTCGCTCCTTTTTTGGCTTTTCTTTTCCTTTTTTGTGAATGAATGGGCTCTTCGGGGCCCCTGATTGGCTGGGCAAGGACCACCCCATAGGCCTCCGTGGTCCTAGCTGCCAATCATGGGACACACCGGTGTGTAGCATTCGGGTGTCCTTAGGGCCCTGAGCCCCCGGTGGTTGCATGGGCCGGGGCCTGGCCCTGGCCCTGGCCCAGACGCATCGCTACTCCATCCCCTGGTGGTAGGTGCAGGCAGAGCGCCAGCTCGCACAGCTTTTTTGTCGAGTCACCCTGAAAACCTTTTTAGCCTGCCAACCCAGCCTGAACATGAGTCACGGGGGCCACCAGGAAGGAGGGGAGCAGGAAGAAGAATTTGTTTCCTGGAAGAAGCCGGTGAACCTTGGTTTCCTGTAAGGAGCAAGGTGTTTGCATACTCAGGCATAACTGAATTTGAAGTTCTTTCTTGGGGTGATAAAGAGTTTTGGTTGTCTGTGAGACCGGAAGTCATTTAGCAGGCAGTTTGCTGTGGGGAAAGGATTATAGTTCCAGAAACAGAAAACGGCTTTTGGAGAGTTGCAGATCTCACCCTGGAGAATGTACAGCCCTGGACTGGTAGCACTGGCCTGAGAGGGGAAGCAGCAGGTGGGCAGCATGTGCACACACCCTTAGCACCGCATGCACACGGAAGGGGAGGGGAGATGACCAGACTGGACCGACCAGACCTGACGGGATGGTAGGCTACTGTTTTTTTGAGTCCTAGAGGTTTTTTTTTTTTTTAAACTGCCAGTCAGCCTCACTGGTCCACTTTCAGACATAACTTGGTGTGGACTGCGTGATTTGAGTACTTCTTTCCCATCTGCTTCAGTTTACTCACCTGATCACTTGAGCTAATAATTCCTGCCCTGGAAACCTCACTGGACTGTTTTGAGGATTAATTCTAGAAATGTCATTGGAAGTAATGAGGCTCATATGTGTTGCCCGCTAACTCTGACTTCAGAGTGATGAATGCTTATTTTATATAAACTCCTTTCATTTTAATAGTAGTGCTTTGGCCAGAGCAAAGACCAAGGCACTGAGGGTTAAGTTGTTTGCTCAGTGGCTGCTGAGTTGCTAAGTAGGAGCTTGAATTTAAGCCCTTGTCACCAGCAAGCATTCTTAGCCTAATTGTGACCCAGATCATCTCCCAGTGCCTCTGATATTATGACTGTGGAAGTAGCCGGGTAAAATATCAGAGTGAGTTTCAGGCCTAGGAGCTGTTCCTCTGGTCCCTGTAGGAGGGAAGTGCTGATGAACAGGCATAGAAACTGTGCTTCTGGGTTGGTTACACTTTCCCTTCTTAGCTCTTTATAAGTCTTGTGAGGTTGGTTGTAAATTCAGGGCAGAAGCTTTCCCTGTTGTCTTGCTTTATAGGTAAGGGCATTGGCTCGGAGAGGTTGACTGATTTGCTGAAGGTCACAGAGCTGAGAGCAACGTGGTCAGGATCTCCACCTGCCTCCTTGCTCAGGAGCCCTGCCTGCTTCTCAGGCAGTGAGTGGTGTGGAAGGCTCTTGGAGTTGGAAGACTGAGCTGTAACTGTTAGGCTTGTTTTTCATTTTTATAAGGCATTGGGTGGGACAGAGGAGTGAAGTAGCCCCAGGTGGGCCTGGGGAATGGTGGTAGCTAGTCTGGGCTTGTGCTTTGGTTCTGAGAGGGTTGGGATAGAGTTACAGAGAGAGAGTTAGCGGACAAAAGGGCAGAAGCTAGTGATGCCAGCACCTGGGGAGAAAGGGTGTTGGTGTTGCCCGTAGTATCATTTGCACCAGCCTGACTTTGCTGAGCTCACTTCGTTCTGTGCCAGACTGAGCAGCTGCCCTCAGTGCTCCATCCTGGCTTCCTCCGGAGGACATCTTCTCACCAGCCTTTGAAGACAAGAGTGGGCCGGTGACCCTACCTTGAGAGCTGCAGAAGTGGCCTCCTAAGTAGCCACAAAAGACAGTTAAAGAAATAGCATGAGGCTTTGGGAGGGTGTATTAGGGCCACCTGCCCAGACCAAGGTCACTGTCTGCCCTGGGGCCACCCCCCAGCATGTAGCTGAACCCCTTCCTCAGTGCCTTACTCTGAAAGGGTCCCTGAACTGCTTCCTCTGCACCTCTCTGAGCTGCAGAATAGGGGATGGAATTATAAATAATATCTGTGTGAGGCAAAATGAGTTCCAGCTCCCAAAGGAGCCAGAACGAAGCTCCTGAATACCAAGAGGCTGACAGAGGCTGGCAGGAGGGAGTTTTTGTGTTGAAGAGGCCAAGAAAGCTTTCCTGGAGGGAAGAGAGCTGAGCTGGGTCTTGACAGATGGGAGCTGATGTCATTACCTCAGCACTTACTGTTTGAATGTGCTGGAGTGGACCTGGTGTCACACAAGACGCTGAGGCTCAGGTGACTTACTTTCCCTAGAGTCACACTGCTTCTCTGGGATGGAGCTAGAACTCAAGCTGAGGCCTTCTCAGTCTTGATGCTTATCCACAGTGAGTAGAACTTGGCTCTTAAGACACACAGATGGAGCTGGTCGGATGGGGAAGGGGAAGCTTGGGGGCTTCAGTTCCCAGCTTAGAGAACCTTCAAAGTGGAGGAAGGGGCGGGAAGCCCAGCGGAAGTCTATGGAATTACTGGCTGTGAGCTACCTGATCCATAGGCCTTGGTTTCCTGTTGTTCCTTGATGTCTGGAGGGAGAGGTGGGGATTCTGGTCTCAAGCCAGGCCTTTATTCCTACAGTAGCAAATGAAATACTGATCCTAACTTACTGAGCACTTGACTGTGGATCAGGCATAGTACTGAGATCTCATGCATGTCCCTCTGGGTTCCTTTAGTTGGTAAAATGTGGTGACTATGAAGTGCCAGGATTGTCCCCAGTTTGTAAAGGCACAGCATGGGGAAGTTGTTGACCCAAGGTATGTGAATTTTGAGTGAAATGGGGAGGCGTGCCCCCTATGGAAGCTGGAGAACAAGCTGGTGACCCTGGCAGGTCCCCTGGCCCAGACCTCTGTGTCTCATCTTGAGATGACTTCATAGGGCTTTGTCCACACACATCCCCCAGCTCTGGGGAGAAAGGCCAGGGAGAGAGGTAGCCTAGGCTTGTGCTCAGGCCATTCTACTTGTCCAGGCTACTTGTGCCTCCCTTGTGTCCCCAGCCCCATTATCTCGTTCTCCTGTATTTAATCCAGGGCCGTAGCCAGGTCTCGAGGCTGAGTCCATTAGCTGGGCAGGGCCAGCCACCACCAGCTCCTTTGGTGCTGGAGCCTGCCTTGACCCAGGCCCAGCTTCATCTCCTTTTCTGAGTGGAGCCACCTAACAAGCACTGCTACTCTTCTCTGCACCTCAGTTTCCTCATCTGGCCAGGCAGCTCTACCGTTCCAAGTGCTGTGGCTCCCACATCCCCAAGGATAAAGTCAGCCAAGATGCCTCTGCATCTGGCCTCCATGCCCAGTCCTATGTCTACTTCCCTCCAGCCTTTTCCATGCCTGGCCAGCACACTGTACCTGTGTTATTCTGTTGCCTTCTTGCTTGCCTTCTGCTTGTTACCTCCGGGCCTTGCATGTGCAGCTCTGCCAGCAGGAACACCCTTCTGCCTTACCATGTTCTTTTGTCATCTTACAAGATTCTGACCTCCAGGAATCCTTCCCTGTCTGTCTTCTCCCCAGTGATGACACAGAGGTTGATCTAGGAGACTTTGAGACCTGTGTTGATATCTCAACTTCTTATAGCCCTAGATCAGGTACACCGGGTTTCACCCAGCCATTCCTTCCTCCCAGCGACAGTGTGAGGCTGATGAGGCAGTGCTCAGTGAGCAAGCAGTGTGGGACGACTGGCGATGGGTGCCTAGGTGAGAGGAGTGTGCTGGGGGCTCTGGGCACCTGCCTGTGGAGGGTCTCCTGCCTCATCTATTTAGCCAGATGTTGTCTGAAGGCTCCTAGAACAGGTGCTTCCTCCAACTGTGGGTTGCTGAGCCACATGGAGGTCCCAAGGCCACACATAGCCCCCAGGTGACATGGAGCCCTGAGAAGGAGTTAGGGAAGACATGAATCTGACAGGCCTGGCAGGTAGCCAGGGGGTGGAAAATGCCCGGCCTGCGTGGTGTCCTGCTTCTTTCCCGCTGGAGGTAACTGTAGCTACCCCTGGCTCTGCCGGCAGCCCCAAGCTTCCCTTGCTTCTTGGGCCTGTGCCCCAGCTGACTCAGCAGGCTTGGGGAGGGTTTGGTGAAGTCTTTCCCACAGCACCTCCTGGGCTGAGGTCCCGCCTGTGAGCCCCTGGGTTTCCTAGGCCTCCTAGGAGTCTGTGCTGCTTTTGGCCCAGGGCTGGTTTGCTGTTTCTTTCCTAGGTGTCTGTAGGTGGCTGATAGCTTTCCCTCCTTGGGGAAATGCTGCCAGCAAGTGAAGCCAGAGGGAGCCCAGCAGAGTGAGGTCCCAGAGCGTGACAGAGCAGGTGCCTCTCAAGAGGCGTAACCAGGTGGATGCTGTCGTGGCCAAGGTTAGCAGTCATGCCCAGGCTCACAGCATTGCAGCTGTGCCTTAGAGCCTCAGCGCTACACAGCCCTGGTAACAACTACACCAAAATACCGACACATCCAGCCCCTTGGTCTCTGAATGCCTGGCCCTCCCACCCCCTTTTCCTGATCCTGCCTACTGGCCC